CCCTCTCGGAGCATCTTTGTAGGCGCTTACTGTTGGTGATTGCGAATGGCCAACCTCGGGTCGTCACCACGGTTGGTACAACCTATTTGCAGACGCCCCCACACCGCAACCGTTCCTGCATAAGGCCCGGAGTTTAGAGTGGAGGCCACAGGTTAGCGTTTAGCCCCGGCATTCACCACCACGCTGTCACGCGCTCCCTGCGAAGGATAATCGGTGAAGATAAGAAGAGCAGCAGAAAAGCCTGTTGATGACGATATCCATACCTTAGTGAACCTAGATCCTGTGAAATTACCTCACATGATTCAGCTATTGTCAGTTTATTGCCGCATGCAAGAGCTACCCGTCCATCCCCCCTAATGACCCCATCACCCTACCTTCAAGGCGCTTCCACAAAAAGTGGGATCCCGTTGGTCGTTTGTAGATCACAGCTGGTTGGTTTGTTCGTCCGAGCCCTCAGACGAGACATTCCGCCAACTTCGATAAGGCCGCGGTCCTATTCTCTAAAATAAGCCGTGAAGTAATACAGAAGTGAATGCGACGACCAGGCAGACGGCGGCTATTATTTTCCGCATATCTTATTGTTGGACAGGCTGACAGGGCATCTGAGAAAAATCGCAGTGTCAAGTCGCCAACCACACAAGTGAGGCATCCCAGTTACTACTATTGTCTCATGAGCTTATCACACCAACTGGAGCATTCACGGGGAGGGCTGCGGTGTACATACAATAGGTACTTTACCTGGTCTGGGCGAATAAGGTCCATTTACTTGCCGTGGTATTAACAACTCTTTTGTAACCTTTGTTATAAGTACCGCATTTGCGCCTTGCATCTTTGTGATTTACATCTTGATAATTATCATCAATCAGAGTATTAATACAGCACTCTGCGTCTCTCCCTCTGTACCTGTCTCAGAACAAACGCGAATCATCCATTTCCCATCGAACCGCGACCACAAGCAAAGCAAGCGAGCGTCAGATTTCACGTCATTCGACCATCCAATCAGGACGACCCTGATCAAGCCACTTCATCGTGCACGATGCCGCCCCTCGCCCCGCGTGAGAATGTCTTGCCGCTGCTGGCTACGGACTCACCCGGACACCTTGAACCCCGTAAAGGCGGCGGCGGTGGTCGCGGAGGCGGCGGCAGAGGAGGTGGCTCGATTATTATCATCAACAGCGGTGGGGGCTACGGCCCCAATCACAATCTAGCCATTCCAGTGTGGGCGGTCGTCGTTGTCGTCTTCGGCTCAATCATCGCCTTCCTCTTTCTCGTGTCACTACACTACTACTGCTCTCAGGGTAAGAAAAACAATGGCTGAGTCTCTTTTTAATAATACTGGGCTGCTGTTCCCATGGCTGATCAACGAGCAGAGCGAAAGGAGAAGTTCAGCAAGCCCAACCACCGTTTCCGCCTGGGCCTCGTCCTTTGGAAAGCCATCAAGGTCGCTCTCTTTCTGTGGGTCATCACCGATCTGTGGGAGTGTTGCTGCGCCCGCCTGCGAAGGGGCAGCAGGCGACACCCTGACAGTCCGCCGCCCACGTATGCATAGGCGCTTCTGCCGGTCGTTGGTCGGTTTGCTTTTTGAACCTGCTTTTTACGGTTTTCCGAGAGGGTAATGGATGGCTACAGGTACCTATGCGGGGATGCCAAGGTAATGGCTCGGGTTTGATGGCGTTTTGGCTCGGATGGATGATGGTAATGACTCGGATTTGATGGCGTTTTGGTTTAGATGGATGATAGATACCTTATCTAGCGTGGCGTGGCTGAGAATACCCCCTTTGGCTTGCTATGATACTAATTACCATTGCTTACTGTTTGCTGCTTGCTTGAAGCTCTCGCTTGTGTGAGTCTAGATTCGTATTAACTGCATGTATTTTGCTCAAGTCGATGCGTTACTAGAGGTATACCCATTGCCATCGCTCCTACGAATTCCCATTGGTAGCCCCCCGGTGCCAGGCCTTACAACGCAAGGACACTCACCGGTCGGGTTACCCGCGTTCTCATCGGTTTAGTAACACAAAGGGCAGTCCAGTCAGATGTTCACCCTCGTGGAGCGATGTTGCAGACAGTTGCGGATTTTGGAAACACTAGGGGCTTTCACTGGCTCAGGTACCTAACATACCTTACTTGTTGTAGAGTAAACATAAACATCGGCCTTGGTCATTTGCTGCCAACAAGATCTTATTTATGGCGTACTCAGAGGCACGTAAGCACCTGTACCTATATGAGAACGTCATAGGGATGTTGCAGAGCCATCGACTCGTCGAGAATCACTCTCGTCCTCCTCCCAAAAGACAGTTCTTCAGTGAAGTCTTTACGGGTCCCTGGGGTGGTTCAATGCCTGAGATGTAACCCTCTCGGCAACATGGTTCAAGGGTGATTGAGGTGCCTGATTCCCTCCTACAACTGGCTGAGAATGCCACTTCTTACCCCAAGGTACTGACGTGTCGAGACGAAGGTCGTACGGTACCGTCCGTATCCTGGTAAGACAACTTCTGGAGAGGCTGCATCTGCGGACAGTTCTCCCTCAACTAGAAAGGCGGTATGTTTAATTCTGTAGTCAAGATGCCGGTGCCGATGAAGGCAGTGTTCGAGCTCTTCGTAATTTCCGCCGTCGGACTTGCCATGCTAGCCCACCAGCTTTATCTTCGCGAGACGGGCAGGATATGAGCAGCCGCCTCTGCTGGTGCGTCCAACGGGGAGAACGGACCCGGCTGCTGAAGGGAAGAGCTGCCTACGTTATCCGGCGTGGTACGATGGTCTACCGGGCACAGCTGGGCACTGTTACGAGGGGTGGAGCCTGGAACCGTGACGATGGGGTGAATGAAGCTGCGGACCTGAAGACGATGCGATCCGCCCATGCGTTTGTTTCGTGCTGGCGCCCATTCCGAATGGCAAGTACTATTGGTACTGTAGGACATCTACGGTACCAATAGGCAGCCATTAAAGTGGAGCCGGCAGAATGGTAAATAGCATTTCCAAAGTACTATTTTGTACCAAAATGACGCACATTCCAATGCAGCCAACATCGCCAACACCCTACACATATGAAAACGACCACAACCTGAAGCAATTCACAACGCAATATACAGGCAACAGTAGTAAAAGGCGCCCGCGGGCCAATTCGTCGATTTCTGCAATAAAAGTAAAAGCAGTTTTGCAGTCACGTGAAAACCACGTGCAGGGAATCCATCTATCTGTCACTCTAGAGAGCTCAACAGTCGCTCCGACGGCTTGGGGAGCCGCCCAGCACGCGTGGGCTTAGCCACGCCCACAGGGCGCTCCCAGACCTCGCCGCCATCGGCTTGGCTGCAGCCTTGTTCTTCGAACCTCGAGGGCGCCCGCGAGGTTTCTGTGACGGTGTAATAGGTACGAAAAGATACCTTTTCTTTTTACCTGCACATCAACCGGTGGGGAGAAATTTATGCTGGGTTAGGGTTATGTATGTGCAACCTATTGGTACCGTAGATGTCCTACAGTACCCATAGTACTTGCCTTCCGAATATATGTCTGTGGTCATGCCAGCAGGACTGAAGCTCGAGATGGTATGGAGCCGTAGTGCCCGTCATGCACGCATGCCGGCTTGGCCCTGCCATATTTAGTGAGCCCGCAAATACTGTATTTTACACGGGTAGGCAGATATAAGGTGCATAACAAGATCCACTCACAACCTCCTGCCAAGACATGCGATCTCTTGCCAACGCTAAGCCAGGCAGAACGCTGGTATGAGCCGTTTTTTTGATAAACCAAGCCTCCTTCCCTCATACGCATGGATGCCAAGTCCTTTCCACCGAGCTAAGCCGGCAAGAAGGGCTGTACATGTATACGATGACTACCTTAGGCGTAGCCTGTAGGTGCGTATGCTTCCATAAATACAGTAGGTGTGCATTGTTCCATCAGCCCGATTATGGTAATTATTGAACTTTGCCTTCTTGATTTGCCATACCAGGTCGGTAAGTCACCAACCTCACTAACACGATGCCCGTAGCTCCGTGTCATGAGAGGTGGTGCAGCCGTATCGTGCGCACGAAGCGGTAGCCAAACGCTCCCTCTGGCAACTGGTACCACAGAGATCCTGTAATTTCCCGGGATCTCGATGGTTACTTTGCAGTCCCACGTCCGGTCGAGGAGGGTCGCTCGTCGTCTATGGCCCGTGACTGACTGGTATTGGTTGCCGCTCTCTCGGAATGGCAAGAGAGGGTCACGGGTTTGAGTAGGTCTCAAAAATTAATGTCCGTCTTTCCAATGCTAATAGTTACGAGGTCCAGCAGGGGTCGACTTCCCGTTTTATTTTGTGCGTTACGACTCAAGGGAACGTTGGTAAAGATTGATCTCGATAGGGAGTGACGAATGGGGGGTTGATATTTTGTCTTTACCACACACCCGGGATTGGTCTCTGCCTCTACTTGCACGGACATCAAGTATGACGTTTGGCAATCGGGATTGCTCGAACATTCAAGGTTACGTCCTGCTCTGCTGACAGAGCGGATTCATTTGTTAGCGGAAGGACTCTGGAGATCCTGCAGTCATTCCGTGCCATGAACTCCCCGATTCTCGCTAATTGTGCTTCGTGGCACTTAGCTTACGCTTCCTGGATGTTTTGGTTGTTAATTACCTAAAAGAAATGGCTGAGGTGAGGCGGGCAGAATAAAACATTTGCGCTTGGGATCTTCAAAGACGCACTAGGGCATGCTATTATGTCGGCATTCTGCTCACCAACCCTCACTGTTTAACGGCTGATATATATCTGTGTACGGATCATTCACATGTTATTATTTAGATAGGCGTGGAACTCACGGCAAGTAGGCTCCTGTTTGGCGGGGACTAAGAAAGCACCGAGGGGTAAACGAGCGGCGAACCAGTGAAGCTCGTTTGCCTGCCGTTAGTCACTGGCGCAGCCTGAAAGCCCGAAGCCACTGGGCCCGTGATTTTGGGCACGGGTCCATTACAAAGATTCCGCAAGCCGTCAAACAACCAGAAGTACAAGTGGCATAATGGGAGCCCTCGTAGAGAAATGGTAACTCGTCAGATTCCTAATCTGGAAATTGCGGTAAGCCACAGCCAATCAGATGCATCCATTCTCGGTGTACTAACAACATCCAGGGTTCGAGTCCCGTCGGGGGTGTACTTTGTTTTTTTTGCCCTTCTCTAGGTCTTGAACATTTTTTATTTGCGCTTTGCGCTTTCTCGTTTTTCCATATTGATCGTTTTCTGCATTTAATCCCCATTCAAAGCATACCTACACCTTTCATCATGCTACCGTATATCACTATTGGCCTACCCCGTTGAACGCATTTGGGTGATCAAGTTTGCTGCGTGGCTATTACAGGAGAGGCGCTCGTCTTGGCTAGCATTGAGACATGCATCTTCTGCACGAAGATCAACGAGGACACAGGGTTACTGGGCTTTCCATTCTGGGATGGCCACACATTATGAGTGCAAGGGCACTCGGTGAACAAGACCAGGGGCCGAGCTAGGGCCCTATCGCTGTTGAAAATATGGACATGTTTATGACGACCGAGGAAAGGGAATATGGACATCCACGAACAGGATTCTTTGACCGAACACGACTGCACGGCGTTGGTCATCGCTGCGAAGGCGATAGTGGGATCGGCCTCCGCAGCACTGTGTTTTGCGCTGCGGAGGCAGACACTATGTACATGTATGTACAGTACTCAGGGTAATCGTTGGGCGCTAAAGAAACTGCGCGTGCGAGTTGGACACGAGCGGACGGACAGCCGGTCTCCGACCAAGATCAGTGACGAGAAGTTCCCAGTTCAAGGGCTTGCTGCCAGATTTAACTGCTTGGACCAATGTATCGTGGACATTCGATATATGGCAAAACTCCGTACATAGCTCGGACGGCGGAGGAGAAACCTCTACAGCTTCTTCTTGACGTCCTTTACCCCTTTTGTTTTCGCGCTTGCAGATGCTGACGGGGTCTTCAGCCCCCAAAACACCAGCATACCCACAGCGGCAATGCCAGCCGCGCCCATGCTATAAGCGACATCCCGTCCAGCCCACCAATATACACTCGTGAATAGCACGGGACCAAGGCCTCTCCCAAGCTGGCCCCAACTCCTGAGAATACCCAGCTTGCCCCCGCGCTCACCCTCGCCGGCCTCGAAGCTGCTGAGAGCGTTCAGTCCCGTCACCACAGTCGCCGATGTGGTAGCCAGACATGCTGCTGCCAGGTAGAGCGCTGGTACCGTGGAGAGACGGGCGAGCAGGACGAAGGCAACCAGACATGCTGCAACCCCTATCCTGACCGAGAGCAGGGGTGGAAGCCGGCGAGTAACGCCGCCCTGCAGGATTGAGGCCACAAGACCCACGAACCCCAGCAGTCTCCCGTTCTTCGCCGAGGTGTACTCGAACAGGTCATACGTCATAAAGGGGAGCGAGAACTCCATGCCAGAGAAGAAGAGCAGAAAGGTCAAGTGGACCAGGTTGAGGAGGAAATGCGAGTTCGTCCTCTGGACAGGAGCCGAAGCCGAGGCCGAAGCCGAGGCCGAAGCCGAGGCCTCAGGGCTCTTCTTCTCAGTGGCCGCAGTGGCCGCAGTGGCCGCCCCCGTCTTGTCGGTCATTGACGGCAGGGTCTCGGGCAGATTAAAGTACAAATAGATAGTTTCTGTGACGATGAGAAATAGCGAAACCCCTGCTGCGGTCGCGAACGGGTTGGCTGATACGGTGCTGATGGTGCTGAGCCAGGCGCCCAGCGCCGGCCCAAAGGTGAAAGCAATAGAGAAGCAGGCTCCGATGAGCGCTATAGTGGCACCGCGGCTGCTTTCGTCCGAGATGTCGGTTGCGATTGCCGTGGCCAGCTGGACGTTGCCCTCAGACAGGCCGCCGACGATGCGCGATGCCAGAAACGTCCGGAAGTCGACGGCCACTACCCACAGCAGCACTGACAGGATGTTGCCCGCCATGCTGGCGAGCAGCGCCGTGCGCCGCCCATACCGATCCGAGAGATGTCCGATGACGGGCGAGGCGATGGCTTGGAGGAGACTGGATTACAGGGCAGGGAGGTCAGTGTCCGACTGCCAGACAGTCACGCGGCAGGGCCCGAAGGGGGGGGGACGGGGCACAATGTCTACATACGAGAAGAGACTCCCCAGCGCGCCGCCTAGCAGGACAATGTCGTAACGCGATTCGATGGGCCGGGCGAAGGCAGCCTTGTATGCGTTGAGATATCCGAGGACGCTCGAGAGCAATGTCTTGGACGGCGGGGCAGAGGCGTCGGCGGTGGCCTCGACGTTGCGGTAGAACTCGAGCAGCTTCGGGAATAGAGGAAGTATGAATGTAAAGGATATCTGGGCGCGCACAACGGTTAGCCAGTGTCTCTCTCTCCGTCAATAATCTCCGGAAGGGGCGACGTACCAAATCCAACAACAGAGAAACGAATATGACTTTGAGCACCCTCTTCCGGGTGGCAGCAGCAACCGGTGGCGCCATCCCTGCGTTCGAGCTCGGTGTTTCTTGGAGGTCGCGTCTTAGCGCTGAAGTCGACGACTCGGTACGAAAGATAACCGCCAGGCAAGGAGCGTCTGGAGATATTAGATGAATCTAATTCCCGAGGCCGTAAGTAGAGGAGACATCAAGTACACCAAAGAAAGGAACGCGATTGAATGAGTTGGACTAAAGTGACACAGTCGCAAACGGCCCAACTGTCAGAGCTCCTGGCAACGTGTTGTTCGGATCCGGTGTTTGTTCTTGGTTCTGACAGGGGCCAGGCTAGGTAAGGAACCCACAGCTGAAGCCACAAGGTCCCAGCAGGCTCGGCACTAGCGCATCGATCCGGTGCCTCAAGCCCCGATTGGCCTGTGCCCTTTTCCACATCCCTCCCTCCGTCCAGCTGGCGTCGATCATCCCTTTGGGCGTTAATGGGATCGTGCTTTCACTCTCACTACCTTCCTTTCCTCACCTTCCACCAAAACTCTCGACTCTGGTGCACGGCGTCGAGCTGTTTTCGACTTTCATACGCCCGCATTGGTCCAGTCGAAAGTACCAAAGCAGAGACAAGTTACACGCCCAGATTACACTTTTTGCAGCAATGCAATGGTGAAACCCAACTTAGCGATCCGGGGGTACCCTCGGGGCGAGGAAATACGAGTCCTCGAAATCTCTACTCTGCGATCAGCAATCTGAACCCATCCCTGAACTTGGCTCGTCTCGTACAAGTGGCGCGATAGACGACCGGTTGCCGCAGCACAAGTCGTTGTTTACTCTCTCTCTCTCTCTCTCTCCCCCTCTCTCTCCGTCGTGGCTGTCGGACAAGGAATAGACGCCTTGCGTAAGCCATGTTCCACTCTGAAGTACATCTGGTCCTCCCTCAGTGGTATCACTACGGCGAACCCGTGTGAACCCGTGTGGTTGGGTGGGCTTGGCCGTGAAAATCTGACCGAGCAAATCGTGGATCGTGACCCACGTGAAAATGAGATATCAGGATCAGGACTGTTTGGCTCTCGTTTCGTTGCAGGAGGCTATTCGAGAAGCCGGCAATGTCCCAAGGGTCAGGATTGCTATTGTCACGCTATCTGCCATGGCAGGTTCAAAAGGCAGGCTGTCGAAAATGTCTGGCCATGGACGGCCCCCAGGGCCCCTTTCCTGAGTTCACCAACAGCACATGCTCGCATGAATTCACGGCTCGGCTGAGTTGCCAACCCTGCATATCCACAATGTCCCTCTCAATGCACACCCGCCAGTGTGTAGATTGACCTGCTCCGTTGCTTCGGGGGGCAAAAAACAGGTTCAGTCCCATCTCCTTGCATCCTGATCTCAAATGCCAATAGTCGGCCAAACGCTGCCTGCTTCTTTAGTAGTTGGCCGGGCTGATACTGGCGTCTACTTAAGGATGACGTTGGGGGGTTCGGTAGCTAAGAAGCAAGTTCAATTCGGTGTTTCGAAACAAGCTGTGCGGGAGCCCTGTGCCTCCGCACTTTCGTCGCAGGAGTACCCGTCGTGCGGTAGGTGTAGGTACAGACCACATCCTATTAGCTGCGCCCCGTTTTCACGCCATCTAAAGTCAGGCACCAGCCCATGCGGACCCAGATCGCCTACATGGGTACTCCAGGCATATCAAAAGCGGAGGCATCGTCGGCTTTCTTAAGGCAGACGTCCAACCCCGCGCAGGGAATCATGAGCGACCACCCGAAAAGCTTAATTCAAGCAGATCGCCTCAGGCGGGTGGCTGGAGAGGGCTCTTTGAGGCTGTGCTCTGCAAGGGGGGGTCCCTTCGTCGCTCCTTTGGAGAAGCTCATCTATTCCTCGCCCTGGCGACGCAGGTCCGTCCGAGCCTGCAGCCCGTCAAATGGGCAGCCATACAGATTAGACAACCCACTATGGGTCTTGATTGCAAGGTGCAATTATCCTTTAGCCGCCCAGATCGGCGCGACTGGATCACCAGTCTGCCTTGGTGGTTTCTCTCCTTGCGTCATTTCCGGGTCCGAGTCTCCTGCAGCACAACGTAGTAGCTTCCTTAATGCTGTGTCTTCGTCTCGGTTGTTCAGCCTGTTGTCGTTGTTGTTGTGTCTCCAGCCCAGTACGCCGCTCTTGATTTGCCCCTGTGTCTTGTCCCTCCCCGGCACACAAGACGCAGACATAAAGAACCAGTCCCCCTTCCTCAAGTCCGTTCCCAGCTTTTACTCTTCTTCCCAGTGTCTTCGATACTGCATCAGTCGTTCTCGTTCGTGTCACTCACTGCACTTTACGGCCCAACAGTCAAGCACCGCAACCGTCAGCTATCACCCCACAATCAGCTGCATACTTGGACAGATCATATACGACCAGTCAAGATGAGGAGTGCTGCCATTACCCTTCTCACCCTTGCCGCCGGCGCTGTGGCCAACGACAATCACTGGCACCCATCGTCTAGCGAGGACTGCTCCGAGTCTCCTACGATCACCTTGGTGCCCACTTGGTCAGCAACAGCCCCTAACCAGTGGACTACCAACACTGTCTATACCACAAGCACCCATACCATCACGAGCTGCGGCCCGGAGGTGTCTCACTGCCCTGCCCAGAGCACTGTCGTGACCACGGTGGTGATCCCGGTGAGCACGACCATCTGCCCGGTAACCCCTACTTCCATCCCCTCGGTTGCGCCGCCTCCGTCGCCGCCAGCATCGC